TTGACTATTCGACTTTAATTATTCATGAACTCTTTTAGGACACGCGACTCGAAACACTCTAAAGAAGATGTGCAAGTACATGTACGTCTGGATGATTGATACAAACTTTCGACTTACATTGGAAAATTTTTGTGTATAGCATCCTGGTGAGTGTGTCGCGTTTAGTTATTTTGCTATTATTCAATTAATTTATAAATTGTATACGCTACGCGTTGATCAAAATGAACTTTATTATCGGTTAAATTCATGTGTAGAAATCCCCGTTACTGCATCAACGTTTTTGAATAAATTATATATAATTGTTTGTTTTGGTTTTATAGGGATTACGTCCCATCAACAGCTAAGGCCATTTAAGGAGGTAACTCGATGTATGTTTTGCACGCGTGTATGTGTGCTGGTGATGACCTAGCACAGCATTCTGCCCTGTCAACTACTGACAACGCGTGAACCAGTTGTTGCCATTTCCCTTAATGCTGAGCGTTAAGTTGGGAATTACAACTACCATTTTACAGGACATTAGTATGGCCCGGCCTGGGGACAGAACGTTCACCATTAAAGCCAAAAGTGAGGTATTGACAATCAAGGCGCTAAGAAATTTGAAGTAGAGATATCCCAACTATTGCAATTGGTGCAGCAGATTTACTTTGGTTGCTTTTGTGTCGAAAAGTGGAGGGCGCAAAAGCAAATCCCCAATTCTGCAGGGGGTTCTCTCATCACTCGCCTCTTACGATACATGCGGTGGTTAACAGCAGGTATATTCTTTTCTCGATCCCCGACATGCAGGTGTTATATTTACTGAATAAATATTATTTACACTTCTTTCAACAAAAAGGGAAATAGATTTTTAGAAAAAAAGCATTGATGGTAGTATTACACAGCATTCAGAGAGTAGAATAATTACTTCAGGTTACATATAATAATTAACTATGTAAACATCTACTCAAGCTTGTACAAATGTACATACCCACATGCCTACACGTCACAAACACCCTCACACATACAGCACAGCTATATTTGATGTGTACTCAGGCTTAGTAAGTCAGAAATCTACATCATTACAAAGTTACTACACATATATATATATATCATAGTGATAGCATCCAAACTGTACAATAATAGAGGTAGATATCAATCATTCAATTATTAAATTATAATCTCTTAAATCGTTCAGTACCATTTATATAGTACTGGACATTAGCTAATGTAAGTTCATTAATATCATCAGAAAGGGTACTATCACCTGAACTTAACAGAGTTGAATTAGAATAACCAATACGGTCATGAATTTTATGAAGTAAATACCTAGAATAAGAGTATTTATGGCAAGTAAAAAAATAATGATCAGTATTTTCACTAGGTGAACCACAGGCACAAACTTGATCTGGGATAAGATGATTTATAAATTAGTGACGATTCAGGTCACTTGCATTTCTTAACTGGCACAAAATAATATTTAACTTTTTTGGGCTACAATTTTTAAAAGTATCAGAAATAGCTTCAATAGGATTAGCTATAGTATTTTTAAGATTCTTAGACTGACTGACCTGGTCAGCAAAGGATCAAAACTATTCCATGCCTGCATGGTACTACGAAAAAACCTTAAATCATATATATTAGTTTTTGACCTTGGTATATTGAAAAATCTTGGGTGACGCAGGGAATGAATATTTTGCTGATGATTGATAAATGGTTCAATGATATTAATAAAAAAGCAGGGGTTAAATTATTCGCAATTTTATACATTACAATACATGTATGCCTATGACGCCAAGATTCTAATTTTTCCATGCCAGTTTCTAGATATCGTTTATAATGTTATTTTCATTTAATGAATACTTCTCATAACACTTCATTAACATTAAGATAGCTCTGTTTTTCGTGTTAAAATAAATAGTAAAATCGGAACTGATAACTTGTAATACATACAAGTACTTAATTGTTGAACTAGTTTCAATAGGAAATGCATTGAAAAAAATATCTAAGACCTCATCCCGATGCTTTGAATATGTTCGACTATTTTAATGAGTAACAGCTATAATTTACGTTTGTGATAAAGTCTTACAGTTAATGGTATCAAGAAAACTATCAGTAAAGAGTTAACAGGTACTCACTGCGGGTAGCCATACGGGAATCCGGGCGAGGTGATATACTGTGTGGTAGAAGCAGCAACAACATCTATACCTGATGTGTTCACACATATGCAATCTGAAAAGGGTGTTTTTAATCTCATTAATGACCGAATCTTGCTACCAGCGATTCCATAGGGTGATAAATTACGGGGGTTTTCAGCAAATTTAATGAATGGGGAAAGCGGTCTATTGTGAAATTGCTTAAGATTATTTAAGTTCATCACCCAATGAGATGAACTGAAACAATATTCAATTCTTAGATTTTGATAAAACTCTAATACCTTCAACCTATTATTACAACTCTGCCAATAGACGGGAGCTTGTGTTGTAAGTCTACGTATAAGCCGTATGTCAACTTTCATATACCATGTTGGAAATACCTCTTTTCTTACTGAAACATTTCTATTATTCGAAAACTCAATTAGCAATGTACAGTAGAATTGCCCTGATCCTTAGAATAAAAACATAGATAGTGGATTCATCTTGTACAACACGCCTACATAAAGATATATATAAGTATATATTTATAAACTACATTATCAATTCAATTTTTGTTTTAGATTTTTTTTTTTCAAGAAGTTTTTTCCCCAAGATTCGAACTTGTGTAAACTACGGTTACCACATCAAAAAACGCAAAACAATGCAAAACAAAACAAAGGTGACCCCAACATATATAGGATATTTTTTCTTAAATTGAATATTATCTCCTCGGTGATAGAAATACTCACGGTTTACATAGGTCAATCCGGTAGATATTTCGCAATATTTACACATGTGCTGATTACAGGAAGCACTAACTTTTGTTGTGTAAACACAAGATTTGTCAATGGCTAAAACTGTAGTCTCAAACAAAACGCAACCTTTTTTAAAAACAAATATGAAGCCTACTTGGTCCCACATCATCATGTATATGCCAACTTTAGTGTTAGTGGTTTTTTTTGTTTTTTTTTTATATATGTAATTTTACAGGGGGTTTTCATTGTACAAAAATATCACACATGGCTACTGTTTGTCACTGCTTAGGAAAATACACGAAAGGTGGGGTATTTTTTATGTGGATAAATACCAGTTATAATGTGTAACACAAGAGTTAAATTCAAAGAATAAGGTTATGCCAATATTGTTTTTGATTACGAAAAGAAACAAATAATATTTGGTTCTTTATTGAGTCGAAACGAGAGAAGATATTAAAAAAATATACCTGGTTTTATGATATGAACTGAAAATCGATTTCGTGTTATAATACACGAGGCCATTCCGGATTGATTGTATCCGAATAATAAATCTTTGCAACCGCCTATTTGATCACTACAGCCACATGTGCCCGGAAATCAAAGAGGTAGTTGCAATGATTTACCGTTCGGAGTTTGAATATGATCAATCCGGAATGGCTGTATGTATATGATAGACTATTTACAATGTTAATGAATCAACTTTGCTAAAATCATATTTGTGGAATTAATGGAAAAAAACCAATCGAAGACACACTAAGTTTTATTTACTTCTTTGTTAAATGACTTTTGCCGTTAGTTTGTAAATCATTTTGACATAATATATTTTATTGTGACCCCACATTCATAACAGGAGATATGCTGTCCTTATGTTTTATATACACTTTCTAATGAGGAAGGTAACAAAACATTTCAAGATATTCTATACTTCTTGCGAGGTTAAAATAAAGTTTTATATTTGGTTTGGTTTAATTTTGTTTAACATCCTAAACAGCTAACGTCATTTAAGGACGTGCCTCCATGTGTGTAGTGTACGCGTGCTTGCGTGTGTGTATGCAGGAGACAGAGTATGTTGTTGTGCTTGCCTCTTTGTGATAGCGCGGATCTGATACCGACTTTATTGTGCTATCTCACTGAAATACCATGCCGAAGGCACCCATCACATCATTCCGCCCGGTCACATTATACTGACAACGGGTGAACCAGTTCCTAGCAAAGCGATAGGAAATATATATAGATAGTGGGATATATTTTCATGTGTTGTATTAAAATACCATAAATACGACATTGAACGTTGTTTTATCAGCATTACTCGAACAGGTTTTTTTTTAATTTTGTTTTTTCGTTCTTTTATTTAATGACTGCTAAGGTCATTTTAGGACGTTATTCGGAACATAAAGTGTTAACATATTTTTGTTTATTTTCTTTGTATGTACTCACCCTAAAAACAAGTTTCACCCAAATACAAAATTATACTTGTGGGCGGAAAACTTGCATTTGGCAGTGTTGTTCGAATTTAATGTCCGTGAACTTGTCCTTCGAAATATTAGACGGCGAAATTAAGCTACTATACAGAAGTGTAGTTTAAATGTTAGCTCATATTAGCGTTGTTAGAAGTTTAGAAAATCATTTAGGCTCATATATATGTATGATGCGATACTGAAGCGTAGAACAAGGAACGGAAACGTAACTTAAATACACAACAAAAACATACCTTCCGCCACATATGACATGTTGAAGCCCTGGTCGACAATGCTACCGTCTGTGTGAAACTTTATTCTAACTTCCTTACTTGGTATCACATGTAGAGACGCTGTTCTGGTAACCTCATACATGAATGAGGGATCTGTCAAATATATAAATTAACATTCACAGAAATATTTACCAGCTTACACTTTTCTTGAAATATTTGCGATATACTTTTATCTTTCTATATCATTATTGGATAGGTGTTTTTCCTTTATCAGACAAAATATTTACTTTATATCTTATAACAGGCAGCTTTATATTATTAGATCAATATAATAACGTAACTTAAACAGTATTATTAGAAACCACAACTCTTACATACCGTAGAATAACCGAACTTTGTCAAAGCGCCACTCTAGCTTTACGAATATGACATCGATCCTTATTAACCCGCAAGCATCTGTGTCCGATATTGTCCAGTAGCATTCAAGTTTACTATCAATAACAATAATAAAACAGGATACATGTAATAAATCAACTGGCACTTAACAATAAAAAGAATGTCCTGGTAGAATACCTTATTTCTATCTCTGTTCCAACTTAAGCATATATGGTTATACATCTTAGTTCCAACCTTTTTTTGCCCTGTGCCCTTAACACTAGATCAGTCCCTTATTTTGTACAATGTTGAATCCTGTCCATCTCAGTTGGTTTGGCTGATTGAGTTTTGAGTCCTATTAAAAGTTTAGATCATCAAGGGCATACATGTACCTCATTGTGTGACAGTATAATAGTGTTAGCAACACATGATGCATATTTATTGTTCGTGTTGATTGGAAATCGGTAGATAGGGGTTCTTAGGTTAGGTATTGGTTTGATAGGGTTTACCATCCATTAACATAGGTTTTTAAGGACCTGTCACCATCCGGGTAATGTATGCGTGTATGTGTGCTGGTGACGGTATATTAGTGTATTTCTACCCTGAAAGCGCGGATCTTATGAAGTTTCGCACCGGCATTTTAATTTGGGATTTCGACCCTTTTTGATGGAGTTATGTCCATTTGTACGACATACTTGTCCGCGCAACACTTCCTTAACTAACAGGTGGATTTCAGTTAAACTTTTCATGGCTTATCGTTATCTTTTGTAGTTGTGCACCGCGATTTTGACCCTTTTTGATGGAGTTATGCCCATTTGTGCGAAATACTTGGTACTGGTGGGAGACTATATAGCTTTGCTTTAGTAAGCCTTTAGCTTACAGTTCTAGTTTATATCGGAGCGGAGGTATTAGTTAGCCTATAGCTTATAGTTATATTTGTTACAAAATCCAATTAAGTATAAAACTGCAAGGTGCTTGGACTTTCATTATAATATCGGAATATTAGTTCACTTCTACCTTTATAATGATATTCAACTCATAATTCATTCCTCCTTGCGGATATGTTACATAAACCAAGCATGAAAAACGAACAAGCAGCCAAACATCTAATATCAGATACAAAAACAATTTCCTTATAATGACCACCGTATCAGCTACAACTTGTAGTCTAATGAATCTGTTGTATAATAACAATAAAGTTGTATTATTAAAACAACTCTTTCAATATTTAACTCCTATGTGCTGAACATTCTTAGATTATGAGATACTTCGAGTTTTGGAATCTGAGGTATTGGTTGTCAACGTAATGAATTTGTACGGTTCTAATCTCATTTCCGTTATCGATATAAATATTTTAATTTAATGTATTACCATCTATTAACAATCTACTTAACATACCAATTACGTTTTCTCTTTTTTGAATAAATATGTCTGTATTTCTAACTTCGAGTTACAGACAATGATCCAGACATTTAATCATGGGCTTTATATCCAGGAACTACGTCAGTATTAAAATCACGCACGGTATAACAGAGTATTATAACAAATTGTCTTAGATGATTCTTCTAAAAGAAGATAATGACTTTTGCAATCCTTTTTTCATAATAACAAAAATCATAACAATCTTGTTGAGATTAACAAAATGCAATAAGGTAAATTTACCACATATCACAGTAGTCATACGTCAAAGTATTAAAAAGATATACTAACTTGGTATAGTTATTTGGAAATCCTGGTGAAGTAATGAACTGTTTGGTGGATGTGGCGTTTAGCTGTTTCCCCGGCTCGCTGTCAAAGCACGTTGACTGACAAACAACTGGAAAGCAGAACATGTAAGTAGTGATTTAGTGTACAACCAAAAGACTATATCCATTAAAATTATAATTGAATTTATTTTAGAAACAGCCTTGATTTACTACTCTTTTGCAACAGTTTCGCTATGTTTTTGCCATTTTCCATACAATGGGAAGGCATTATCCAACAGGGCTAGGTGTGTCACACGCGTGCCATGGTTGGTTAAAAAACAGGCAACGTTCTTTCTAAACATTTTCTTCAGGTTGGTAAGTATATATATAACTTCTCATAAACTGCAACGTTCTTATCTAAGTCGTAAGCTTCCCCTTGAACTGGACACATTCCCTAATGGCAGAACTTGCTTCACGACTGTGTTCTTTTCCTGATAAAAAAGGGGTTAGTATACCAAACGCAACTATATGCATTGTGGGATATCCAAGGAGGAAGAGGTCAGATGGAGTGAAAATGTGCATGTGTACCTTCTTACCAGGCCTTCAGGGGGTCTTAGTTTAGCAGATTATTTCTAGCGCGTAGTGGTGATATCACTTATTCAAAACAAACAATGCTCCGTCACATTTGTTTTTTTACCATCATCGTAATATTTACAGTTGTAATAGTGCATATATAAGTATCACTACAGTTCCAGGCTGTAAAAGCTGTATAGGCCTGTACTAAATTGAGAAAGGACAAAGAGATAATGCGAACAGTTGGTTAAAACCATTATACAGACACATACCACTTTAAATATCCGACATATATAGATATATATTTGTGTGTGTCAGTGAAGCACTTCAAATATCGTTATTTCAAAATGGCGAACCACAGGGGCTTATCTAGAGTATGTATATGTATAGTAATTATTGAGCATAAAATCTCAAGCAGAACATTTCATTAATGGTTTTTCAGTTAATATTAACAAACCTGATTGTATCTAAGCCTAAGCTATTTGTTTTATGCCCGCAACATGGAGATATATAATCGATCAAAATATATATACGACCATCGTCGTCAAATATAGGACTCAATAAAATTAGAATTTCAGTAAGTACTTTTCATTTCATTTTACTTGATCTGGTAATATCTCGCGTTTGACCTTGTTGTTGCACGTTCGCGCAAGGGGGGAATGATATCGGTAATATCCTCTAGCTGCGATAAACAAAAGACATACAAATCAGTGCTTAGTCCTCTCTACTTGACGTTCAGATTTATGAATGGATTGCGTTAAGAAATGGTAAGCCGTCTGCCAGTGTAATGTTTTGGTATCTGTTATCATAAAAGACCAACCAGGTCTCTCGAGTCGTATATTAAGCTTAATCACCTAGCAAAAATGGGAACAGATTTGTGATATTTGTATGCTCGTTAAAAGGAGGAATTTCATTTATTAAATAGATACATGTATATAATATAGTTTTGAAGCAGAAATAGCGAAACAATCATACATACATGCTCATTCTATATGTGTTCATATTAAAAGGTCATGAGTAAAAGTACGCTGAGGGGTCTATAGGGTCACAATATATACACTGAAGAATGCTGAGAGTTAGAAAGTGTCACACTATATACACGGAATAACATGATTATGATGGTGAACTTATGAGTAAATTGGTAAGAGCCGGAAAACCTATTTATATATGATGTGTATCAGAGGTCATTAATCAAATAGCTTGAGGAGGTTGTATCGGTGTAACTGACGTTTTTATAATCATAAACATTTAAAAGAAATCATGTATTTTCCTTTAATTGTACATTAATACAAGTTTGTTGATTGATAACTTTTTTTTAAAAACCCTGCAGGTCGGGGACCGAGAAAACAATAACCTGCTCTTTTCCACTGCATTGTATACTAAGAGGCGACTAAATTGGGTACCCCTCTACCACCGCACTTGGGGTCACAAAAGCGACCAAAATAAATCTGCTGCACCCATTGCAATATTTGGGATATTTAATGCTTTAATGTTGCGCGTTCGCCCAGGTGATGAAGGCAATGAGTTTCCTGACAGGGACATCCCAAAGTCCTTAAATATGGTAATTTTTATTCCCTGCTTAACGTTGAGCATTAAGGGTAATTGCAACAACTGGTTCACTCGATGTCAATAAAATGTGACCGGACGGAATGCTGTGTTGGGTGCCTTTGGTATTGTGTTTCAGTGAAGATAGCGCTATAGGGACCGCGGAACCAAATGATTTTCCATAGACGATAGTGTTAACGTTTACCACTGTCCTGGTTAAATGGGGTTATCCACACTGGTTTACCTGACCTCATTTTGAAGAATAGCATCTCACACAACTGTAAAAAAAAATATTTCAAAATTCTGCCAATTTGAACTTTTTTTATATGGGGGCTGCCATCTTGTATTGAATTCGGCACTGAAAATCGAACAAAATTTACAGCAAATTACACACTTAATAAACTCACCCAGACAAAACCAGATTTTTTTTTGATTTTTTTTTATACTTATTACATCTATATATATTGCTCAACCCACACATAAAACTTTTGAAACTTCTGCCACCTTAATATCCAACCAGCAGGCCCCGAGGCATTCACCTTTCTATTAAATCTTCTGCCCAAAAGGGAAAAACCCACAATCTATTTTTGATTTGGTTCCGTGGTCCCTATAAAGTCGGCACCAGATCCGCGCTATTCAAGAAGGCAAGTACACCGGCTTACACTGTCTCCAGGATACGTACACACTTACACAACGCACATGGAGGCACGTCCTTAAATGACCTTAGATGTTAATAGGTTAAACAAAACAAAAATTATCAACTGGTTTTTGTTGTGTTTTTTGATAATTGGAATCAATGTGTCGAAAACGAATTTCATTTTATTAATCCTGAAATCGATTAATGACATCCTGGCTACAGAGAGATGCGCCTCGTATCTTTTACCTTTAAGTTTGTCTGATGTTTTTATTTTGAAACTGTTTTTGGCGACTATTTGCTTGCCCTGAATACCTATCCTGTGTTGATGGGCCTTTCAGCATTTAAAAATTATATTTTTATTATATGTATAACGCCAAAATCCATCATAAGAAATAGAACCATGATGTACCTCATATTATACAAACTAGAAAGCCATATGTACACACCATTTTTTTACTTTGACAAACTTTTGCAGAAGATAAACGGAAAGCTGCATAATAAGGAATTATTTTCCTTACAATAATAAAGGAGATTTACCTTATAAATAGATAGACAATTTTTGTAATCATTAAATGGAAAGTGTTAATCATATGTTTACTCAGAATATGAGTGTTTTTGCATATTTGATAACTTCTGACCACTCCTGATACCACTTCCGGTCACCCGTGTGATAAGTTTCTCGTAATGCCTGTTGACTTGTTTTTTTGTTACTTGAACATATGATAAAAAGTTTATAATATGACCATTTTGATATTATATCCCTTATCAGCCCGAGAGTTCCGATATCGGGACTCTCGGGCGGATAAGGGATATGATATCAAAATGGTCATATAATAACCTTTAATCAATTTACAGCATGCATTACACAGCTAACTATGATAAGAGCAGACTCCATTAACGGAAGTAGATTAATTATGGTTATTGTAATTATGAGTGGTTTATAGATTAATTAGCTCCACATATATAAAGAGATATGTATTAATGATATAAAACAAGCCAAATTTTTAATATAAAACACAAATAATGGGGTGTAGTTTTCATATAATGTAAATCAATAAGTGAACTAATCTTAGTAATGGAAACACACTTACGAAATTTTCAAAGACATAAGTAAAGAATACTCACCTACACATCCTAAACATAAGCAAAGGAAACCGATAGCCAAGACCTGACCACCCATCGTGTAATACAACACAGGTCGATTAAATCTGTTTCATATAAAAGTTCCCTGATATGATGTATCTTGTGATAACCACATAGAGTGGTATCCTGTTTCTCTGAAACGGAAACTTAATCATTCATTCTCTCTGAAACACTGTTTGGCTATAGGTCTGAGTATATAATACATGTGTTTAATACATATGCAAGACCACACGCACGAGTGAGTATGCACGTCCGCGCATTAAATGAGTGCTTCCTGATTCGTTAGGATTTTTTTCTGATTTTTTTTTGCAAATACCGGAAAATTTTCAGTTCTCCTCGTCTTTCAAAAACCGGTTTGAACTAATTTCGGCGACACCAGCCACAGGTTCGTTCCTGAACGTCAGAGAGAGGAAAAAACATATAGTGCAGATTTTGATGAAAACGTGATAAAATGTTTACTAATGCGTATGCATGTTAGATAATAGTATGTCAGTGTAACTGATGGGATGTATTGATCCTTTGTATTCCTTTCTTAATTTGGCTTCATTATTCATTAAGATTTTTTAATATTCCCGCCTAAATCGATATCATTTTTATTAATTTAAAATATGTTTTAGCCATAGCTAATTCGGTTCTAGTTGTTGAATTTGGTTCAAAGTTTGGTATACCCCTCGTTTGCCTCGTAGCGTTCTACGGTACCTTGTCCTGCTTCTTCCAACATCATAATTGGTAGAGAAAAAACTAAAAATGTAATTATAAAAATCAGTATTCTGACTGCAACAAACAAGAACCCCACACCCTAGGTCAAAACAGCTTCATCAGAACGAATGAAGACGTTGTGAGTTGATTATCAAAAAAGCTACAAATGAACATCCATATCTTTGTAATCCAGTTGAACATGGACCGTAAATGGAAAAGGTTGTGAGATGACCCCAGCTATTTCTCAGAAACAAAACTATAAAGGTTTATCAATGATGTTGATTTGTCCTCTAGTTGTGTATTATTCGTATAATGTGCTATATTTAGCATCTGATAAACTGTTCTTAGTATGTGATTTGTAGCTTCCGACACATCTAACAACTCGTGAATGGGTCATCGTTGAGTTTCCCAGACATGATCACTTGAGTAATGTAACAGACGCTTTCAAACGTGTCAATACTATTTAAATGGAAATATATCATATTGATTTACTTTTGTCCGTATAAATGAATCACGTGTTTGTAATTATATGTCCGACTAATCATAAAGATAGATTTCTGTCGATTAAAGGCAAAATTTAATTATTTGAGAACTATTTATAGCTTGGAATTTTAGCTACATAATTATACCAAAGAAATTCTGAGCTTTACGTTGATATTACATAAGAAGGAAATGGAACGAAATTATTAATATTATGATAGCTTTGGACATGATCTAAACCCGTTTGATGTAGGTATATTAAAGTTAACATTTAGTCGAGCAATTATACACTATCATTCTGTTTGTGTTGTACTTCCGGGGGAACACTTCAGTAACTTCCGGTTTTTTGTGTATTATCTGACTGTACATAAACGCAAATTGTACCTGGAGTTTGATACAGGAAGGTTTTTTCCAAAATCATATTTCCATACCTACACATATATATAATTATCATGTATTATTATTATTTGTTTGTATTGCATGGTATACAGGAACATCACAAATGTAAAATAATCTAAGTATTACATGAATATAGAACAATGCAATATATAACATGTGTAGATGATCGACACACACGCAAACACTACACACATGGAGGCACGTCCTTAAATTACCTTAGCTGTTAAAAGGACGTTTAACAAAATTAAATTAAATCGAATCGTGCTTCAATTTGAGAGAGAAAAAAACCCACAGAAAACACAAATATATTGATGTAATTCAAAACATGCACACATCCAAATATAAACAATTACACAGAACTCATTCTTGAAGAAACCATGAAAAAGACGCCAAATATCAAGTATTTTACCGAAAGGTTGAAATCAAGGGTCCGATAGTTATCCGTCAGAGGATATTATTTCTTCATCACCAATTTATTATAAATGGCAATACGGACGGAAAATTATTATCTTGTAGGTAATGCTATTTCAACTAATAAAAACATTTTTTCACAAAAATAAAATCACATTATCCTACCGGCTGCGTTATTTATTATGGTGATCCTTGTGTCATGATCTATCACGTTACACGTAGGGCAGGTAAGTGTTTCTTACTAAATTCGATAAAGAACTACCAGTTATTGACTTATTGTAAGCCACGAGACTATTAGGAATTATATCATCAGAACGTCATTTAGTATTATGTGTGATTTATGATGTAATATCTCATTTGATTTTATCCTATGATACATTTAACGTTTTGGTTTTTCTCGCAATATATAATTACGAGTTTACAGTCTTAAATATTACGTCACTTATTTTTCGTTTATTATTTATGACTTGGGTCTGTACCGGTGATATTTTATTATGATCTGTAACTCTCTTCACGTATCAGAGAGATATTTTAAAGGACAAACATTTGACGTCTCCGTGAGGGTTAATAGTATATTTTCTACTGATTTGGTGTCAAAATTGTGTTTGTTTTCGTAAGTCCCAATCAGTGTTTCCTTAAATGAATCATCTATTGTTCAAAATCGGCAAAATATATAGATGAAACAGAAGTTAGTGTCTTAACTTCATGATTTATACTTTGATTATTCGTATTTGATATCGCGCCATAATTTTGCATATTTCAATTTCAGACTATTTTTATTGTAGTTCCTCTACCGTCAGTGCAAACTTTTTGGAACAGCGAGAAGGGAGAAGCTTCAGATGGGCACCTTTTCAACTGCGTTCCTACACACACGGTTTCATTTTTTTCTGATATCGATTCATATGCGTTTGCAGCAAACTGGTAATTCTAGATTTACAATATTGGTTTGGTTTACATGTAGTATTGTCTAACGTCCTATCAACAGCTATGGTCATTTAAGGACGGCCTCCCCTGTGCGCAAGATGTATTCGTATGTGGTTTGGGAGGTTGCGATATGTTCGTGTGTGTCTCCTTGTGATAGCGAGGAACTGATGCCGACTTCATAGTGCTACCTCACTGAAAAATACTGCCGAAGATACCCAGCAGGACACCCCACCCGGTCACATTATACTGACAACCGTCGAACCAGTCGTCCCAATTTAGGAGTGGGACGCGCTATCACATGGAGATACATTAACCAAAATACCCGGCCTCCGGCATGACGTTTATAGTGACGCCGAAGAGTATGAAAACATTAGGGACAAAATGAACACAACAAGATTGAATACACGTTATTTCAATATGTTAAAATAAATAAACTGTTGCAATAAACATACGAAATACCAAAATGTCGAATTACCCTACTGTCGAATTACGGTTCTCGTTAGAACAAATGTGTTGTATCAAGAGCAGTAATTCAAAAAGACAATGGAAGGAAATGAATAACCAGGGCAGTTCTTACATGTTTTGACATTGGCAAACGTCGATGTCTACAGTATAGATAACTTTCTTTATCCAATGACATCATTGTTTTTGTCGATTAATTCTTCCTCCCTCTTATAATTGAGTTGGGCAACATAAACAAGGCACATTAATTATTATAACATAGTCAGGTTTATCTCCCCTCCATTAGTAGTGTCGTATATATAATCAGCGATGCCTAGTAAAATGGAGAGTTGCTATGCTACGATTGTGTGTACAGACGTGAATGTTTAAAGCAATCAAACATGATTTCGATTATGTTTACATTATTGTGTTGTTTTGTTATACCTTCACTTTAAGTGGACAAATGTGTTTTAAGTAGCATCCATATATGTTAGCAGAATAGTTAAATATTTGTTTCGTCTCAATATGGTTTATGCTTATTTGCTTGAGGGGAGGAAAGTGTTATTTTTATCAACACCTTATTTGATTGTCACAAAAAAAAATCATCTCCAATCATCTCCAGCCTGCAGGTACCATCCTTACACTTTAAGTTTAGAGGTTAGGATATTTGTTGTATCAAACCTAGACTTTAATGGCGTTTTCCTTGCTGAAACATCTGGTATCACTTACCTTGTACTTTTAAATGGGACCCCATGTAAATATTTATTTTGTTTTTATTTTGCCCTGTTGTTGATTTCGAGTTCGGTTAACGTTTTTTGGACATTTCGGTATTCTCTTCATCTTTTTTCAGCATACCAGGTGTCTCAATACACAACAACACAGTTACGCTTACTGTTGCTTTTTAGTATGTAGAATGCCGTTTTATATGTGATAAATTTTCCGCGCAAATACTGTCGCAAATATCCGTTTTACTGGCTCCGCTCTGCGTCGCTTTTAAAACTCAATTTGCGATAGCATAATCACGATATTCCATCGCAAATTTCAAAATACAAAAGGTTTATCCCCATTCTCATTCATATCAACCAAAACCACCAAACGAAACGACGATTTTAAGATATTTTTGAGTAGGTTTTTTTTAAAAATTCTGGGTCTCTCTGCTGTGGATTGGTGACGTTAGAAATATTCGAAGTGAGGTGAGATAATGTTGACCTTTCGGGGTCACGTTATCTCACCTCACTTCGAATATTTCTAACGTCACCAATCCACAGCATTGTTTGTGACAATGTTGGGGTCATCTATATCATCTATATCATTTACAATCGCCATCCGGGCGTCAAATGCAAATTTCTCATTTGCGGACTGTACATCGTGATTCTACCATCGCAAATTAATTTGATCGACCTATATAATGCCTTGTTACATCTCAAATGAATTAGAATCATTTTTGATCAGAACACTTTATAAATATAATCACATAAAGATAAAAACAAAGTTCTGGTGTGTAGGGACTACACCGAAATTCGAACCTTAAACCTCAGTTTGATATAATGTCGCTGTAACCAACTTAGCTTCATGGTCAAGGGAATTATCCTACCTCAATTGTGTTAAAGTTATTCACACTAGAACATTTCTGTTAGACATAAATGCCACCCGCTCATGGATGGGACAGGACGCCAGTTCCACACTGCATGCTCTCATATATCTGACAATA